GCGAAGTACAGAACTATGGCACCTGACCCTCTAGGAGCCGGCATTTTAATCAGGGGTGGCAGAAATTAATTCAAGAGGAATTTGTACACAGACTCCACTGTCGTAGCCTGCTTTTATGCTTGACTACAAGAATGTCCTGAAACTAATTTGACATCCAACAACTAAGGGGTCCGTTCTGTGTAAGAACAGCACTATATTGAATGAAGGCATATTTCGCTTAGGTGAAAAATGGATCATTTTGATTGTACTGTGTCTATTGAAACCCTTCAGTGTTTAGAAAACCTAAGGGAACCAAATATTTAATTAGCTGAATTATTCTTTAAATTTAATTTGGCTCTCTATTATTCATAATGCCTTCCCAGAGTTACTATTTGCTTATTCAAGTTGCAAACCCTGAACCCAACAGAGATTTAATTCAATAATTAAACATTTATGGAGAGCTTCTAAAGGTCAAGTCTTATACCACACCCTGGGGATATTAATAATTTTTTAACATATATGTATTATTGAATTATTATTATATATGTAAAATTTATATGCATAATTGTAAAAATAAAACAAAGATAATAATTGATGAGTAACAGTAGTTTTGTCTGGGTAGTAAGTAATTTTTGCTTGCTCTTGTATTTTTTTGAGTTTCCTAAACATTTTTACAGTCAGCATGCTTTACTCTCAAAATTATAGGAAGAAATCAAACACTAAGACTTCATGAAAGTGAGAAAAAGTGAAACAAAGGCAATTTAATTCAGAATTTATTATGCTCACCAGTTAAAATTTTACATTAAGGAAACAAAACATTAAGTTTTCTTCTTTAAAAATTACTACCATTATTGGAAACAATTTGGAGAATCTGAGCTCCTATATGACAACAAATGAGTTTCAATCTGATAGATCAATTTAAATGGTCAAAATCTATTTGTCTCAACTAAGTATTTACCAGGCTATAAACAAGTCTTTGTTTTAATGATATTATTTATAATGTTAGAAAATGCAGTGGCTATAAATTTACATGAGAATAGTAAGTGCTACATCTGGAGCCGAAATAAGATTTGTATTCAGAGGTAGTTAACTGTGTTTGTTCTGTTGTGGTAGACAAAAGTGAAAATGAAGTTTCTGGAAAGTTTTGGATAGTCACACTTATACTAGAAACCTGGGTAAATACAACAACACTCAAAGAAATAAACTGAAAACCACAAAACAAATATTTATAACGGATCACTTAACCACAGTATTATCAATGAAATTTTTCTCTAATGAGCCCAGATTAGTAGCTGCAAACTCAAATGGGAAATTGTGACACACTACCCACAAAGCCACCTTTAGCATTACACTTGCCTGGAAGATTTATATGTGACTCACAAATTTCCTAACTAATCAGTCAGCTACCTCAAAACTTTGTACAATCTCTTGAAGTCAACCAGCTCCAGTGTGCTCTGAAATAATTTGTTTTTTCTTAGGTTGATCACAAAAATGCAACCTTGGTTTTGGAGGAGAGGAAAGGGGAGGACAGAGTCCATATACTGTAATAAGTTAAGAAAACTATGTGCTGTCTGTTTTAACCTTCAACCTATCCCCCTTTACTTTACTCTCCCTTTACTTACACTTTCCATCTGTCAACAAGTGCTTGTAATTTTATTACACTGTCCTGTAGTTTACGCAGAGTTGGTATTATTTTACAGAGTTCTGTTAATGGACTGGATAAATGGTAATGCTATTTAAACTAGTCCGCTGCTCCAGCAAACACAGCTGCAACTGTACTACTATTTCTGAGCAAACATCTTGACCTGAACATGCAGTGCTCTCTCAACCCGTCCAGAGAGAAATTGGAGCAGACAGCAAAGAGAAAGCATATTCGGCTGCTAGCAGCAATAAACCATGTCGAATCAGAATTCATACACAGTGTGCCCTGTTTTTCTTTTATATTGCATTTAGAATCCGCAAAAAGAATGAGTGTTTTTACCCTGGCATCTCATTTTCAGCCAAGAGTCAAATGAGGATTATTCAATACAAATGCTAAAAAAAAACCAAAACCCTCCATAAAATCTTGTGTATCAGGCTAGCTTTTGTCTCGGCAAACAATGCTTAGTTAAACTTTATTTATATACCAAACTGGTAAACTTTTTAGCTGATGATACATTAGAAAAAAAGTGCATTAAATAAAAGATGTAATAAGAAAAGATGTACATAGATGTACATTGTGATACTACTTGGCATCACACTACAATTTATAACAAGAACATCTAAATGTTTCTTTTGTGATATATATATATATATATATAGAGAGAGAGAGAGAGAGAGAGAGTATATATATATATATATGTATATTTTATATATATATATATAGTGAGGGCGGGGCAGAATGAGTTGGACACTTATACATCCCTTATATACATGCAAAGGCCTGTCAATACCGTCTTAATCTTACTTTCCTATTATTTGTCAAAAATCCCGAATCCTTTCTCCTGTCATCCTTCTTGTGCCAGAAAGATTTATTTTTTTATGAGTACTGTAAAGGACATTCTCACGTGTAGGTTTGTACATACTTTCCCACCCACTATGGTATTTGTCTCAGATGGGTTACCTGCCACCTGTACCATATTCAGAAAATTGGAACCTGCAACTGTGCTCTTTATAATTGCATTAGTCTGTATTTAGCTGCACAAGCTTTTATCCCTGTTTACTCAGATTCTTCACACTGGTTCCTTAATTTAATTAGTAATCACCATTATAAAAATATAGCCACATGTAGCTTATAACTTTTTCTCTCAAGAAAAACAATTCACCAGAATCTAAGTCAAATACGGCAAAATTTCTCAATGCAAAAGAATAGACTTTACTTGAGAATGTACATAAAACATGCACACACCCCAAGATTCCTATGTGCATACAGTGGCTACATCAGCTGTCAAATGCCAAATAAGAATAAACACCTTGTAAAGGGTAAAAATCAATTCATAAAGGTATAACCAGAGAGATCAAAATATTTACATCCTTATTTTAACTAATAAAAACCTAACAACACAACATTAGGCTCCTTAGTACCTTGGAAAATTCTTTGAGCCAAATAAGCACATAAAAATTCTGAATATATTTTATAGCTGCCCATTTTCTATTTTTTAACTGGCCTTAAATTAATTAGAAAACACTGTCATAGCTTTATGTCTTCTGTTTCTTTAATTCAGTTCTCAAATATTTAGGTACTCTTTCCTTCTTAAAAAGACTTAATGGTAAAATCATAAGAAAATACACAAGAAAAGCCCTTGTTCCACTATGAAATACTGTCAAAAAAGGAAAAAGAAATGTCAAATGGAGTATTATTTGCTGATGGGGGATTCTACAAGGGATTACACCACCTGAAAACTACTGTAAAAACTGATTCAAATACTTCTATAGTAAGTATCAAACATTCTTGTGTCTCAGAGAAAATGTTAAGGCTGCTCCCTACATTTTCTCCTCTTCAATTTAGTAATTTTAATTCCAGATAACCATCATGTCAAGTCAGTGCATTTTTATAGTACTAAGAAAACATTTTCCTAAACTGCTGTATGTTGTTTACAAAAACACCACTAGCAAAGTTGGGCTTTAATAGTGCTCATTTTATACAAGCCTTGAAGTCAGTTATTTCAAATCCCTCAATCACTAATAACTATAATAGGAAATGGAATACTTTTAAAACCAACTCTGTGGCCATACTTAGAAACACTAAGCAAATATTTTAGTTTCAACTCATATATGTACATATAATTTTAATAGCAGCCTATATACTATTTCCTTCTTAAAAATAGCCCCGAGAGAATATCTGTTAAAAGAAGTGTCTTTACTTGATTTTTTTAAAGCATACTCAGTTGGGCTAATTAAGCAAAAACAGACAAACCAAAAAAAAAATATATATTTACACACACATATTTACATACTGTGACTATCCTTAGAGGAGCAATGTCAAGAAAGTCAGACTCTAGTCTAGAGACAAGATGTGACACATCAGCTGGCAAAGTTCTCCCTAGGGTGAAAGAAGGTATTGGAGGACCCAGCACAGATCCTGGCTTTGACAGTGGTATATGTGGGAGACTGTTCTCCTACTTCTGGAACTGATAACAATACTAAACTTGTAGGCTACAAAGCCTTGGCCACAAAGTCAAGCTTGGAAAAAAGCAATATGCACACTTTCTCTTCAGACTTGACCACATGGGACTTCCCCACTGTCCAGGTGGGCCTGCGCTCAACAATTCATTCTATATATCCCAGCAGTTTTTTACAACATACATGAATATCAATGATCGTTGCTATTTATTTTTGCAACACTTTGTCTCCCATCTGCACAAAATCATTCATATGGCTGAAATTTAATTTTAAAAGCTTTCCAAAATGTGCTTTCACACATTAAGTCAGTGACTAAGCTTTCCAAGGAGGAAAAACTGATTCTGCTTCATATTCATATTACTCTCCATTACAAAAAACTACTTCCTTTAATGATCTATGACGTATTTGATATGGGAACCTTGCAATCATTCATATTGCAGAGTTTGGAATTCTATTTAGGAGGGAATTTACAGCACTTGTTAAATGCCTTATAATAATATTTTCAGACTAATAAACACTACTACTTGAGTACAGGAATCATATCAAAAGAAATGACATTAAGATCCCCAACTTTACAAGAACACACTGCCAACTTCCTCTTAAGAGGAAGCACAGCAGCAGTTTTACTCTTTAGACTTCATTCAAAAGTTCCAATTCATAAATCTCACCATCACATGACCAAAAAACAATTATACAATTACAATAACATACATAAACCACTAAATGCTAACCAAATAAGGCTATTAAATCCAAAGGAAAACCAATCCTAAATATCCTTTAGAAAATACAAAGGCAAGCTTTGAATCCATTAATCTATTGGTGAATAGATTCCAGGAAAACACCAGGAAACAGATCCAAAATACATTTAATAAAGCAAAAGGTACTACCCAAAGCAACAATAACTATTTGTGTCTACTCACAGCCTGTATAGCTTGGCAGTCCCAAGAAACAGCAACTCAGGAAACAGCTGAAGGTGATTTCTGTTTAAACGCCTTTTGAGAAAACAAAAACAAAAGCTTATGTTACATAGAAAATATTCAACACGGAGACTGCGACTTGGTAGTGTCATGCCTAGTTTTGTATTTCAAGAAAGAATAAAATGATGTTCAAATTAATCAAGCATTGAAAATCAAAAGTTGGTTACACCTTTTGTTACCTGATTCTTTAAAGTAATTTCCCATTATGCTTATTCAGATGATGATTACTGCGGCCTGAACTCTACAATCAAATCCCCTGCAACATCAGTCAATCAGAGTCCTCACAATGCTAAAAGAGTTCATGACTCAGACTCACACACTACAGGACGTGGTGTCTTAAAATTATTCATGCAGTGTCCCAGGTGACCTAAATTTTCATCCAAAGCATTGTGAAAGGTTGGGACTCCCAATTTTGTTACCAATTAATTTAGTAGAAAAATAAAAGTGTGAAAAAGACTCAACATCATTTTTCCCTGTAGGCAAAATCAGAAAAAAAAAATCAACAAAGTTGAAACATAAACCCACAACTCTCAACTCTTCACTGAAATTAAAGCTCAGAGTTAAAATGTTAAATATTAACTGACATTGGAATGTTTTCAATGTTTCAGAAAATAATTTGACTGCAAGTGTAATACAATTTAAGCCCTGATGCTATGTAACTAAGTATTGAGAGATCATCTACACCTACAAAATAAAGTGGGAAAATTCTATCTCTGGTGTTCATATATTCCAATTATATCTGGTTTAAGTATACAATTTAACATTAAATTTAAAATAATTGTCTATCTCTGCCTTTTTTCCAAACTAAATAAAATGGAAGACTAGCTCATGAAAAATGCACATAAATGACTTACAAGCTGCTTAGCTTAGTGTTAAAGATACATGTTTTGTACACAGGGAAAGAAGGCATATCAATCTTGACATAATTAAAGGATCATAAAGTACAAGCAGAATTAGAAGACTAATTTAGTCTCTAGAGGGCAGAAATGAGACCAGTGATTGCAATTCCTAAGATAGTAGGTAATGAGGAAGTCCTTTCTAAGAATTAGAGATAATAAGAAATGGAATAATTTGCTTTGGGAAACTCTCCACTCCTCACTGCATATATATTCAGGAAGACACTGAACATTTTTCTCCTGAAAAGGACTTACTGAAGGGAAATCTTAATATTAAGTGAGAAGTTGGACAAGGTGAACTTCAGAACTTCAATATTCTAAGATGCCATGAAGCAAGGATGGTGACCATAACTTTGATTACATAAATTTATATTATTATGAAGTTTATCTACAGAAACATTCTCAGCACTTAATAAAATGTACCCTACCACAAATGTTTGCCAAGACAAGTAAGGAGCAAAGAATAAAATCACTGGTGAAAGGGCAGATTTACTTCCTACTTATACTTCTATGTATAAAACATATGATAACATTAAAGTGAAACCAAAAGCTTGTATTTGTTGAAATCTACCATTTCTAATTTCAACCAAATAGCCTTCAATTGTGACTTGTGATATTAGTCTTTCAAAATATAGATTACAAATGTTTGCTTGAGAGATAATGCAAACTTTTCTAGGAAAGCAGCCACTCCTGGAAAATTTGTACTATCCAAAGAGCCAATTCTGATTTCTAAAAGTGGCAGAGATGGCTTTTCTTAGTTATTTCTAAGCCATCTGATTAATAAACCTCATCCAACTTTTCAGCCACCGCAGTTCTGCTTCTTCAGACCTGGAGCTCCTGCAAAGCAGCTCTTGGTTAGAGGTTTTCTCTTGCCAAGTGGCACCTTCTGACCTCCTCGGTGAAACTTCCCAATTCTCCTATTCAGTTAGTGCCTCCCCTGCAGTATCTCCAAAGCATTTGAAAAGTAAGAGTCCTTTCCATTGTATCCTACTTATTTACTGGTCTTTTCAAGTGTTAAGATTTTATCTTTGCATTTCCTCCCTCCCTCTTTGGCAGTACTAGGTTTTTATCTGTACTAAAAGCCAAGGAGATCAGTCTGTTCTCATTCAACATTCTCTAATCTTCCCTGGCAGTTAGTGGTTTCTTAGGATGCACTGAATGAGAACAGATTGTTCTTCTTGCATTGAGAAATAGCTCAGTAAGGGTCTAGGACAACTTTCCTCTGTCATGTTCCTGGAGATACCTGCCTTGGGTTTGAGGCCAGGCTCTGACCAACCAAAGTCCCACCACCCAACCTGCTTCCTTGTGCCCTAAAGAGAAACCATCTCATTTCCTCCATGTTGACCTCCATGCCCCCTGTCCCCAACCCACACGGTCTCAACACCACCTAGAAATTGAATGAAAGTCACTGTGTTTTCAAAATTTCAGATATACACCTGACTTGTAGTTACTACTGCTAGCTTTCTTGTTAATGGGTCTATATAAGTATGACTTCAAATATTGTGGGAAAGTACATATTTCAGGTTGCACACAAGTAGTGTCTTTCTTAGCTCTCATCATCATCATCATCATCACCACCATCTTTTCCATATTCTCTGGAGTTCTTAATTAAGTCCACAAGAAAAAGGTACCATGTATATCACTTAACTACTTGTGGATGCTCTCTGGAGGTGTTTACATGAATTATCTGATTTACTCTTCCAAACACTCTCATGAGTAGGTATGATTCTGACTGCTGTTTTGGAAAGAAGCATGTAGCTTGAAGACAGACCAAGGACTTCATCTGAGTTACTGTGGCTTTGGAACACATCTTATAAATCAGACCCTCCAAGAAACAGTCTAAACATTCCTATGCAATAATTCAAAACAATGCAATACCGAATTTATACAGAGTATTTCTTAAATATTTATAAACCCTTTTTTTAAAAAAAGATTCTTGTTAACTGTCTTAAGCACTCAATTTAAATACCTAAATTTGAGGAAAAAAGAAAACTGCATCAAAACATATTTCTCTGAATTCAAGTAGTTTATTATTCTTTCATGAAAGTTATTACGATCTTAATATGTCTAAATCAACAATAACAGATTTCCATTTTATGCATTACACTAGGTAATCTTGCACAAAAAAGGGCAGGTAACAGTAAGTAGCCATAATATGTACAAAAAAGTATAAGTTTACTTTTTAACACTATTAGTACAATTTTTGCACCTACTTTCTGCTCTCTTCATCAGTACAAAGCTTAAATGTACATACAAATATTAACATAAAAAGTAAAACTTTTGAAAAATATTCAATAAAGGAAACAAAAGATTCTTATACAATGAAACTAAATCCTTAAAGAGCATTTTAAAATATCTGAAATTACATTAAAGACTGTTAAAGTGCAAAACAACTACTGAATGAGCTTGAGAAACAATAATCTCACTTCTAATATCAGAGAAAAGTCTTAACAGCCTAAAGTCATACTGTCACAACAAGAACTCCAGTGTGCATGAGTTGAAATGATAATTCTAGGACAGAAAAACAGCATGTGGTGAACTAAGGATATTGCACTGAATTACACATGGGAGCCAACATAACTGAGCTCCCTGAGGCAGACCAGGCAAGTCAAATGCCCATTGTTCCAAACAAGGACACTCAACAGTGTCCAAGAAGAGAGGACAGATGTAGAAGTAACATCTAGCTCTGTCACAATCCCTAAATGCAATCTGACCACAAGATCCCAGGACTGTTTGAGGATTCTCTCAACTGCACACTCAAGTTCAGAAAGGTGTACGATAGATTTCTGAGACACTTTTCTTTAGGACAAAAATGAGAAGGGATCACAATAACTTTTCTCTGCTACCAGGTATGTCTCAGTATGACTTTCAGAAGGCGGAGTGACTTTTGTGCACTGCATAAAGCCCTGGCTTCTGAAATGCTGATTCTGAACCCTTTCAATCTGAAGGGCACCTGGGCATTATTAACAAGGTTTTTGCTACACTGTGTGCCAGCTGCTTATATGACTCCTGTCCTTTGGTAGAGATTATAGTCCCTTACTATTTTCAATCTTCAATTAGAGTAATATTTGCAACCTTCTATCTAATGCAAATGAAAACAATTTTAATAAAGAGTGAAAAACTTGGGCTGGGGATTTAGCTCAGCGGTTTGGTGGCCTGCCTTGCAAGTGCAAGGACCCAAGTTCAATCCCAGGTACCAAAAAAAAAAAAAAAAAAAAAAAAAAGAATTTAAAAAAAAAGAGTGAAAAACTGACACTCCATATTTACATGTTATAAACATAAGGTATTTTAGCAGCAGTCCTGATCTGTAGTATGCAATAAATTTTGGCTTAAAATTTTATCATTTCTAACCTCCTATTTCTTAATCATAAATGATTAAATAGCTCCTTTTCCCTTCTTCTCAGATAAAATTTGCACTTGTCTTTTTATACTGGTTTTATTCTAATATTTCAAGGAACTATTTTAATATTTATCTGGCATTACAAAGTTAAATTTTCAGCAGTGTTGCCCATTTAGCTTGTATTACATAAATTCAATTGTATTTCTGGTAGTGACATCCATGAAACTTTCCTCCTTTATTCCACACTAGAGTGGTCAATAATTACTAGTAAAAATGCTGTTTCCTATTTAATCCCTTTGCTTATTGGTATTTCTCTACATATTTAGAAACACATGAGAATTACTCAAAAAAAAAAAAAAGAAAACATGATGGAGATCTTGTACTTTCTTCACATCTCTTCCACTGGTGACATACTAAATGGTAAAAAAAAAAAATAACAAAATAATAAAAAATATAAATGCATAAATGTAGCCATGTACACACTTTTGATAAAATAATTCCTAAACTCAACTTTTGGGAAATGACAGGTATGTGCCTAACAACAATTCCTTAAGCACTGTATGGCAAGGGTTGTTTTAAACTATGTGATATATACACTATATATACACACATACATAGTATAATGTGATTTGAATTGTTTGTATTGTTTGAATACATACATGTGTGTGTGTGTGTGTGTGTGTGTGTGTATTCTTACGGAAATTCTATACTGCCAGTACAACTATACTAGAAGGATTATCTTTGTTTTAAATGTGAAGAAAATAAAGTTTTTAAAGATG